ACCTGCCGAAGAACATTTGGCCATCGTAAGTCACGGTGTACATATCCAATAGAATGCATATCTCTAATAACTTCAAGAACAGTTTGAATAGCAGTTTTAAGTTCTGATTCTTTTGTAGGATTGAATCGATAACCCAATGGTGCCAATGTCACCTTGTACTTCTTTCTAAATAAAGTGGGAAGATCTGGTTTCCCACACTTGTCACATGAATGTATAAGGTTTGCAATATCAGCTGTATCTTTATATAATGCTTTCATGAGATCAAAATCCCCATTAATGAAAGTTGAATAATTGTTAATTGTTTTGACAATAAAACTATCATGTATTTGTACAACTGTTTCATGAGGTCGATAAATATTTTCATACAGGCGAATGAAATACTTTGGAACAAACTTTTTTAAAGTTGCTATAATGCGATAAATATTAATTACACATTTAAGAATTTGCAATCTGTCCTTAGGATCAGTAAGCCTAAACCGTTTAGAAATTTTGATTAATTCTTTTTTGTTGTTGATGGCAAAAAATCCAAGCCGATAACCTGCAGCAGCATATGCAAGTATGTATGGAACATCACCATAAAACAGCACATTCCAGATTTTCATTTTTGATTCAAGTTCATTAACAGCTTCATCAAAATCTTCAACATATCTTTTCTCTTCTCCCTTAAAAATCAAAATCTTTCTCTCCAACCAAACAGAAAAGTCTGGACAAGATTTCTTTGTTGTTGCTGTTGAGTTATCTGTTAGATTTCGAGCCATAGAAATCTCTATATTGTCATCTTTTTCACTTAAAGTTGTTAATGGATCTTTGATAAGCTTGTTAATAACAGAACCTTGATCCATCTCACTCCCTTCAGTGATAGTTAATCCTAAAGCATTTTCAGCTAGCAAGGAAATCAAAGGAGTCGTGATAAAATTACCATTCAAATCAATATTTTCTGTTTCATCTTTTATCATTTTGTTGATATTAATGACATTACAATGTATTTGAACATAGTTAGTTCTGACAGGAATGGGTTCAATAAGTGTCTCTTGAAGAAAACTTTCTAAATTTTCAAAGGGAGGGACTTGATCAAATGGTATACTAAGTGCTTTCACAAGATGTTCAGAATAATCAATATAGATTCGTTTTGATGACCTTTCTGATGCCAAATCAATTGCAGAGCGTTTACCTATGTGTAAGATAATACATAAAAAAAGTACATATTATCAATATTTCAAACAATATGTCATTCAAACAAATAAATAAATAAACAAAATGGAATGAATGAAAAATAATTTTTTTTTTTTATGCAATTTGTTCATTACCTTCTTTATTTAATTCTTTTCGATATAATTCGTCCCAATTATTTCTCCTCTCTTCCAGCTTCTCTTTTTCTTTCTTCAACCCCTCTGTTCCCCATCTTTTCTCAAACTTCTCCAAACTCTCCTCCTTCATGAATTCATCCAGTCTTCTTTTTGCATCGTTTAACTCATTTTCAATTTTTTCGATCATTGCTATTTTTCCCAGAATTAAAAAAATTTAAAAATGATATTCATCCATTGAATTAATTTCAATTTTAATTTGAACATAATAAATATAATTTTAATAATATTTTACTATATAATCTAATACTAATATTATTGGATTATCTGTTCAATCCGTTCAATCCGTTCAACCCGCTCAATCCGTTCAACCCGTTCAACCCGTTCAATCCGTGGATAATCCGTAGGATTATACGGATTATACGGATTATCCACTCAATCCGACAGATGTATTTTTTGAGAAATTACTGGATGACGGATTAATTTTTAAAGGTAAATGACGGATGGACGGATGACGGATTGCATCACTAATTCAAATTACTATTATTCATTTTATTCAAAATATTTTTACTCAAATTGATTGTTTTATTTGAAACCTTATTTAAATAGAAACCTAACTACTACTCAATATTATGATATTATTTTAGCACAAAGAGCTTTAGAAATATTAACCAATAATTTAATTACAATATAAAAGAGTTATTGGTTTATTAAATTAAGCCAATAATTAACTAAAAAATAGGA